GATAAAGCCCCCGCACTGCTCTGCGGCTCGGTTCCGGCGCGGATAGAAATTCTTCATTCCTATTGGACAAGCAGACCAACGCGACTACAAATGCCGCTTCCTATTGGGTGGCATTCTGATACCCGCCGGGACAAGGGGGGAGCCGGGAGCTCCCAGCCTGGAGCTGCTGCTTCTTGCACTTACGTTTGCCCTGGACAGTTAGTTATACTGCTCCCTGCTTGAATCGGTTCCTTTTTAGAGGTGAATCCGGCTTATTATTCATAAATGAATATGTTAATGACTATCTATCATTGCTTTAGGACTCTGAAGCCTCCCTTCCAGAGTAGCATGAAACAAATATTTAATACCATGTGGTGACTGGATCTATTCGTGGTACTTGAAGGTGGTTTTAATTGCAGGAGGCTCTAATGGGCTGTGATTGTGTCCTGTTTGTTCACAGCTTTCCAAAGCCGGGGATTTTTCGGAGTATTTTTATGTTTCCTTTTTTTTTTTTTTAATATTTCCTTTTTAAATCCCTGTATATTTCCTTACTAAGGGTGATACCATCATGGGATGCTTTAAATGATATATACAGATTTTCAGCTGATTCTCACATCCAAATGCCTCTCCTTTGTTTTCTTCCAGCTTTTTTGGGAGGAGGTGGGAACAGTCAATAGCACTGAAGATTATGCTGATTTGGTGGCCTGTTTTCAATCAGGTCTGCTGGTGCTGGCACAGAGGTGGGGGCTCTCTGGGCTACACCTCTGGGGCCCTTTCCCCAGTCAGACTAACCCGACCTCTCTGCTCTGAGCCAGTCCTTCCTCTCTGAGGTCTTCATAAATAGCCTTGGGAGTATCTCTCACTTACTTTTCTGTATCCAGCAGAAGGAAGCAGCTTTTGATGGCTCGTGTAAAGCAGCTCAATCGTAAGGTTGCCACTGAAGGACTCCCTCGGGAGGACCTGCTCAAGAGAACAGCTCGAAAAAGGGTAGCAGAGACAATCTATGCATCCCCTATGGAGCAGGTACCTGGGAAAAAGCCTGCTGGAAAAACCCGTGCTTCTGCAGCAGAAGAGGTGGAGAAGCCTCTGCATCCCCAGTCTCGCCCCCACGCTAAAATGTTCCAAAAAATTCACTGATATCAGCAACACAGCGGCCTGGTGATTTCCCCGCTTGGCTTCCGACGACTAATGAAAGACGCTTGTGATCTGAAGAGTAACTTGCATTTCCAGTCGCCAGCTCTCCTGCCTCTGCAGGAAGCCACTGAAGCTCATCTCCTGCGGCTGTTTGAAGACTGGAACCAATGTGCTCTTCATGCAAAAAGAGCCTCCGTGCAACCCAGCGATGTTCATCTTGTGAGATGCCTCCAGGGAGACAGAACGTGAACTTCATAGAGGCACACAGGACAACCCTTCTCAGGAAAGATTTCTCTACAGCTTTCCTTGGGAGTCACCATGCTGCTGTAGAGGGAAGCACTTGGTTCATCTTTGTAGCTTTGTTTGTTTTTACATTTTTAGTTTTTTAAAACTTTTGTTAAATAGCCTTTCAAATGTCTCAAATACATGGCTATTACCCTTTTTTAAGACGATGGGAGAAGCTGATGGTTTCTCCAAACAGGAATGCAAAGTTCCCTTTAATGTTCTCCTCTTTGTAACGTTAAGATACACTGCTGTCGTTAAGTGAGTTTCTTTGTGCTGGGAATAAATGTTTCGCAACAGAATATATAAATATAATAATGTAAAAAATAAAGATCTATGGTAGTCAAGGTTCGTATGTCTATGTTATAAGTTGCCTATATATTTTGGACAATGTTTTGGCGAAAAAGTGTCTTTACTTAACCAGAAAATATTGTTGAATTCGCCCAGAATCAGCAGGGATGTGTTTACTGTTGGACATCAAATCTTCCTAGTGTGTGATGTGAAATTACAGAAACTCATGAAAATATTCATAATACTGCAGCTTTATTTTGTGTTATGTCAGTGTTGTGATACTGAAAGTCCGCCCTTTTTAATTTAATTACTCTAATGTAGTAACTGTGTCATTTAGCGTTTGCTCTTTGTCCCCCCCTGCACCCTCAACAAAATGACTGTCGCACGAGTCAATGCTTGAGAACTTGAATGATGTCCAACAATAGCAGAGTGGGGAATATAATAATACAGAAGCTGTTATGGGCTGTGAGAAAAAGGACAATTACTACGTGCACAAGCAGAAGTCAGCACAGGTGAGACCAACGCAGGATGTTCCACTCCTGTTTCATTAGTCTGGTTATGAATGTCAATGCAATTCCTTGGACAGTATAATAATAATATTGTCACCTGGAACAAGCATGTCTCAAGATCCTTTCACAGCAGTTGTTACAGTGTTTAAAAGCAGCACATTATATCAAATTGCCAACCACTTATGTAGCACTTCCTTTTTTTTTTTTTCTTTTAAAGATTTCCCCCCATATCTGCTTAATTTCACAGATCATTTGTTTCACCGCGGAATTGTCTATGAAAAAAAAGATGTAGAGAGCTAACACAAGTAAAATATTTCAGCAGAAATAGAAACTCATTGGTTTCCTTTATATCTTTCAAGAAAACCTACAAAAATGAAAAGGAAATCAGGACTCGTAGTAGAGATGATATCTTTTATTAGACCAACAAGATTGTTGCAAAAAAACAAAAAAATCTTTAATTGCAAGCTTTCAGGCACAAACACCCTTAAGGCATCAGGCATTGGAGAAAAGATTGTAAAAGTTCTCTTGGGTAGAAATGAAAGTTCATATTTCACAGGATTTCACAGAGGAGTCAATAGATGGATCTGTTAAACAGTAGTAGTAGTTTAAAAAAAATCAGGCTCCCTTTGAAATACTTTAAAAAATCAGGTATAACCTTCCTTCTTTCTCCTTGAGCACTTGTTCAAGTCAGCCCGCCTTGCTCCACCCTGTTAGTCTGGAAAGCCAGGCACTGAATTAAAAAAGGGGTGGAGCGCTCCCATTGGATCAATTAGTCACTAGCTACTAGATGCTAGCCACTAGCATTGCCAGCCACTAGCAATTAGCCACTAGCAATTAGCCACTAGCTGCTAGCCGCTAGCACTAGCATTGGGCAAGAGTAGCTATCCAATCAGGAGGAGACAAATCTCTATTCAGCCAAACCTGAGTCATTTGGGTGGGGCAGAGGGGTGTTTGTGGGGAGGGAAGAGAAGGGAGGTGCCAGTAGTTTGGGTAGTGGGTGCAAGGAGGTTGGGAAGTTGCAGGTGAATCCTGAGCTCCGTGGATGGGACTGCAATGTTTGCAATGCTCTTTCGGCAGGTTCCAGGTCTTTCCTGTCCTTAATTTTTTATGTGCTTCTGTTTCTGAAGCAGTTCAGTTCTGAGGTCAAGTAGGAAACCCGTCCCAAATGGGTCTCTGTATCACATCTCCAACCAGCGACAGAGTAAACTGCTAGAAAATATCATGGGGATCTTGACCAAGCTGGGTTGCCAGCCAGGAAACAATTGGTTAAAACACCCTGTCCTCTTACCAGGCCTTTCCCTCCTGATGCTGTGTTGTTTGTAGCACAGTATTTCAGGGAGACGGGATCTTCCTACCTTAGGGACGCCCAGCAACTCTTACAAGCCCCCCGCATTTCCTATGACCATGAATGCTGTGTTCCCCTGGAGGCTGGGGGGGGCACGGCAAGCTCCCACAGGCAGCGGCAGCAGTGGCAGCATGGCGGTGGTGAGCAGTGAGCTCCCGCAGGTGGCCACAGCACTGCCGGCGGTAGGGGGGCCGAGGGGTCGGCACCCCCCCGCAGACAGCACTGGCTGTGTCGGCGGTAGCCAGCAGTGATCATGGACCGCCCATAGATACTGCTGGTGGTGTCGGCAGTGAGGTGGGGGGTGGCAAGTGGCAATTGCCCACAGGTGCCACTGGCAATGTCGACAGCACCTTTTAGCAGGGGTTGCATGGCCATGCTCAGGGGCTATGCTCCCTATGCATCGCCAGTGCCTACGACAGAGTAATCCCACTCTTCGTGACAGCAAGGAAGACACAGGACAAACACGTTTTCATCCTGCATAGTTAATGATTGGGTTGCTTCGAGCTGAAATCTTGCAAGCCTAGGTCACGACTTGCACTGAATTTGTTTTAGGTGAATCCCGAAAAGGACCCCCAGCCACATCTAGTAGTGGCATAGGCATATGGTTGATCAAATACACTCCTGTGCATATATAACTTGTCATTGCTTTGTAAGCTCTCATCGCCAACCCTCTGGGGCCTGAAAGCGGAACAGGCACCCTGCATTTGACATGTAATCCTATTGCTAGGGCAATGCCCATGGTGGGCGTCGTGTCAGGGAAAGACTGAGGAAATGGGAGTTGAAGTGGAGCTGTCAGAGGCACAGGGGTGGATCCTGCTGCCAGCTCCAGAGGAAGGAGTTGCCCGGGGCTTGGGGGCTCTGGCTGAATTAGGCTAAAACCCGGGCAGTGTCTTCCTGCCCACCTGGGAGCTCCAATCTGTCCTTTCATCCTAGTTCTTCGGAGCGCGGGTCTTAGCCTGTGCACTGGGCTGGAGGGAGTCCATGCAATCCGATTGGTTTATCAAACAGCCAATGAGAGCTGCTTGAGTGCCCGCCCCATTCCCAAGCATCGGGCTGGTTCAGTTCCCCATCAGGTCCGCTTCCATCCGCGTGTGGCACAGCAGTTACAGAGCAGCGCCTCAGTGTAAAGAGCCATTCAAGGGCAGCTGGGTCAGAGAGATGAATTCTTAGGTTCAGGGTTTCTTGTTTGTTTCGTTGCCTCTTCTGTAAAAAAAATCCAAAAAAAAATCAGAAAGCAGAAAGAGCTACTTTAATGTAACTTTATACTTCCTGGGGATCAGTGTGAAGAAAAAAAAAGAATGACTTTCAGGCTGGCCGTGTACAGATGAGCGTGGTGGTGCAGCATGTTGTGGAAAAACACGTGTAGACTTTGGGGTCAGGTTAGTAGAAGCTTTATTCAGATCCACGGTACCGTGGGAAAGAGCTCAGAGTACATGGATTCACCTGCACTACAGAGAGGTCTCCGCCTCCAAAACTGAATCATGCAGTTTATGTATGTTTTTTAAAAACAGACTGTTACACAGGACATAATTGCCCAAAAAAAATTCTCAGAGAAAACAGTCAAAGACAACTAGCAAGCACTCTGTTTTCTCAGGGAGATCAAGCACATACTTTTTTCTGCTATCTTCAAGGCCACGGTGAGCGAAGCAATTGCAGGGGCGTTACAAAGAACAAACACTTTCCCTTATCCGCTCTAATATGCAGAGCCCGCAATTCCCCACAAAGCGGTTATGTCAGCTTATAACTCATATGATCAAAATTTAAGGCATTTATTTTTTCTGATTCCACAGTCCCCGCTTTGAGACTATTTAGTCTCACTTTAGCCTTGAAATTCCATTCTTATGAGTCCCTCTATTTCATCTTGCAGCCTTTCATGTTTTTTTTCAATCTGCTCACACTTGTGTAACACCATTATTCTAGACTCTGAGGTGTGTTTTTTTGCCTTGCTAAAGCTTTGCCTGCTGGCTTTTACGCAGCAGAGGATCAGTTGCACTAAGACATAAAACATTATCGTAACTATTAAGACAAACAATATTTCATACAGGATTTTCTTGCCAAGGTTCCTAAATTTGGGAACCAGGAGGTTAACCAAGACCACATTCCTTTCATATTCCATTGATTAATTTGGTGAAGTTCAACAACTTCTTTTTCAATAATCTCGGCTTGATTTCTAAGGGCACTGGAGGCATCAGGAATATATATATACACAGCATTCAGACTTTATCAGGGCACATACTTTTCCTTTACTGGCGGTGGAGGTGGAGGAGGTAGGTTGCTATATCTTCTGCTCCACCAACCTGGCAACTTACCAGTATGGATTTTCTCATCGAATTCATCCTGGTTATACTGGGAACTCAAGTAGCCTTTTGGCTTTTGGTTCACGGGTAGGTGTGGGTGGGACAGAGGGGAGGAGGCATCTGGGCTTTGCTGGTTGCCTCCTCTCCTTTCTGCTCCATGTGTCAGGATGTTCTTAAACAGGGAGCAACAGGGAGCCTGTCTGTTGGTGCCTGGAGGGGCTGGTGCCTGGCTGGTGTCTGCGCTCTCTGGAATATCCCAGGCCTGGCTGAGGTTGCTGCTGCCCTCCCTGCGGCCGCAGGGATGGAGCCATGAAGCCGCTTCCTGGAGGGAGGGAGCTGAAGTGGCAGAAGCCATGGCCCAAAGACAAAGTAGTGCAGAGGTCTGAGCAAGAGCTGCCACACACAGGCGAAAGAAACAGCTGGGCACAGACTGGGTTGCAGCTGAGGGAGGGGATGCACGTCAAAGAGAGAGCCCAGAGGTGCCAGGAGGAAGCAACAGGCAGGGAGACACACTGGCTGCGTGGTGGGAGAAGCAGCCCAGAGACAGCACATCCTGGGGGCTGTGTGTGGCTGGAAACAAGCTGGGAATGGGAAGCACAGAACAGCCTCCTGCTGCCTCATCCAGCTGTGCTCAGGACCCCGTAGACAGGACAGAGCCAAGGGAATCCCTGCGGTAGCTCTGGGTTCACTTGGGGATGCTTTATCAGCAATAATGCAGACCTCCCCACCCACCCCTGCAGCCTGCATGGGACATGGTGGGTGTTGGCTTCACCTTGGTCTAGGCTGGGGTGAAGGTGGTATTTCAGTGTGCTCCCTCATACCTGTCCAGGCCTAACTTTGGTCTGGGGCAGAGGTAGTGTGATGCTTGCTGGATGCCCAGAGCCAGGGAAGAGGTGGGGAAAATCCTCTTTGCCAGCCCCCGCTCCTCCCCAGGCTGGCCCCTGCTCTGTCACTGTTGTGGTACTGGGATGGGGGTGCTCAGGCTACATGCTGGGCACCAGGGAGTGGCACCCGGCCCACCCCCCCGGGCGGGAAAGCCTGTTGCGGCTGGTAGCTGGAGCATCTCCTCTTCCCTCCTCCTTCCCCAGCCTACAGCCAAGCTCCACGGCCAGCCCCAGCACCTGCTCAGATGGCAGATCTCTTCTCTTCTCAGCCCCCACTTCAGCCATGCCTCTCCCACGGG